GCGTGCAGACTGTCTATTTTCTCGGGGTTCACGGGGAATATACACTGCTGTAATTACCTATTATTGTAATTCTCTAAACATTTCAATTTGCTGACCCTCACGGCCCTTTAATTGTATTTCTGTGCAAGGATCTTTGAGTGTACGATATCTATAATTCATGGTTTTGGGGAGAATGCCGCCACCTGTTCGTTACGTTTGGTCAACGGACCGATTGATGTACGACATGAGAAGCGTCGTGACACTGCTGTAGGGACACGTTTCACTCGTGCGGTGCAGGTGTAAACGTGGCCCGTGTTCAATCAATGGGGAATTTAATAAAAGACACTCTCAGGATGTGTTTAACGGGTGCAATGGTGGTACAGTGGTGTGTGGGTTTTTTGTTCTTCCTGAGCGCATTCCCAGACAACCCTGGCTATATAAGTAAGCCCTCGGCGCACTGCAGTTTAGTAGATCAACAAATCACATGTGGTGGGGTGAAGTGTGGGCACCCCCATCTCTTCCGATATGTCTGGCCAGCGTTGAAGATGAGGCTTCAATACCCACTAAGGAACTGGAAAGAGAGAAAGACCTCGTAGAGAATGCCTTGATGACATTGGGCTCCAGAAAAATGTGCGCACTACTTGGGCATATTGGACACCTACGAGCTATCTGCCCGTGGATCGTGTTGATGATGATGATGACCCACTCTCTCGCGCTCCCTCTATTGGAGACCCTTTCACCAGCCGTAGCATTGAGCAAGCACTTGCAGGGCTGCACATTTATATATATATTTGTATCTCGAGCTATGAAAACAAATCCAGTGCAACTTAGTCCATGACCATTGACTCTCCTGTTGTTTCTTTTGGATCTTGCATTAATCTTGCTCAGAGGCTTGATTATTCCTATATCTCAACCCTAATCATTAAAAAATTGCACACTTTGCCGCGCAAGGTATTGCAGTGGCAATGCTCCCAAAGGGCCGAAGAACGAATGTAAATGCAGCGAAAGAATAATAAAAGCGATGACAGTGCAATATCGAGCCCCGTGGGTCTCGCAAGAGAGCCACCAAAGCCATTACTCATACGTGGAAAATTATGTGATGAAACTTTACTGGTCTGCATTTTCATCTTCTTCATAGACAAGTATTCACAATAAAACAGCAGTGGTAATTTGGAACTTTGATATATTAATACCATTGCAGTGGTCATCTAAAGCGTCCGTAGTTAATTAAAAACAACTCAAAATGAACACATTCGTCAGTAACACTGGCCTAAAAAGAAAAATTAGGCTCTTTCGGAAAATGGCCCTTAATAGCTGACACATCGCCCAAATAACTCATACCTAATTTGGAACAGACGAGGAAGCATTGTGACATTATGATATGTGGCGAAATTCACGTGAGCCAGAGCTGTGAAATGAAAGGGATTTCGACAAGAGACAATGACGATGGGAGTTAGATGCGAGAAGAGAGATTTATTCGTTTTGTTCTCTTGGCTTTTTTATGTTTGTTAGGAATGGAACTCCGAGCTGATATTACGTTGTATCACCAACCCGGAGCCTCTAGGGCTGCCTGGGGTCTTAAGCGTTGTGCCGATATTGTTTATATGCCTCGCGCCCTCGCTACAGATGAGACGATGCTTGACACAGCAGCGATGCTGCCGGCAGGTCTGGCAGCAGGACGATGAGGTCAGCGTGGCACGCACGCATGTTTCGAGGGCTCGGAGAGCCACTTCGGCTAGCGAATGGACGAGAACGTTGCGGAGAGAACATGGCTGAGCGAGATCAAAGGACAGAGTCTGTAGCGACAAAACAACGGTGGTGGCGGTGGTGATCGTTGTTACTCCGACTGCAGTAAAAAAAAGGAAGCCAACTCCGTAATTGATCGGGGGTCAGTGATTTGTAATTGCCGCAGTAATTATTTAACCTAATTATACGCAGCAGTCTCTGCTGACGACACGTAGCTGTGTAGATCACGGTTAAACGGTTTCAAAGTTGCTAACGTTCTGTATGCACACTTGTAGCTTCTTTCCGCAGTACAGCTCACTCAAAAAATAAATGCTCACTCACTTTTATTTTATTTTAAAAAAATTCTGAATTGTAAGTGTTATGTCATGGAGCTACAATGTCAATATTTTATTGTAACCTTCCCACCACAGCACCAATCAAATCAAGTTTCCACGTGGGGGCAAACACGCCAATTTATAGTTTTTTTCAGCACAAAGCGGAGGAGGAGGAATGTTGAAAAGGGAGAAAAATGTTGACAATTTTACACGAGGTTTCACTGGAGGTTACATCCAGCATCGTCACGCGTTGACAAGAGCTCCACTCTCACGCGGGAGCTGAGCTTTTCAACATTCCTCGAGGTTGCTTGAGCAGAGTCGGGCCTGCTTGGTGAACTGCCCAAAGTTTACAAGCAAGGACGCTCTCTCTCTCTCTCTCTGTTAGATATGGCTCCTAAATTGTTTATAAACAAAGCTATTCAATGCGTAACACAACAATCATTCGGGGTCATTGTGAAGAATGTTGATGGAAATTTAAATCATGCTTAAATACCCATACGTTTCTCCAAGGCTGTGCAGCTGATTGGTTGTTATATGGGGAAATAAATGTAGAAAGGAGGTGTTATTTACTGTAGAACATCTCTTATCCGCGGTGATACAAGGGAACGATTTTTCAGATCCTTTTATTTGCAGGGTAAATTCACATATTTCGTCCACTTGTCCACTAGAAAAACAATCGAGGATAATCACAGATAATTGGAAGAAATGGGCCGTGGATAATTGACTTTTCACGGACCCTACAGTTCCCACAAATAATAGGAGTTGTGGGTAATAGGGTTGTGGATAAAGAGGGTTTATCACGTGTCATGTTATTGACATATCTGGCTTCAGTTGTTGCTTTGGAGGCCGGGAGATCGTTGATTGATGTTCGGTCGCCGCGTCGATGATGCCACCGCTCGCGATTTTTCACTCGGCAGAGAGCGGGCCGGGTGAAGGCTCCCAACGTCCACTCCACCACTCCATACGCAATAATCTGGCTCCACCACCTTCACGTAAAAATGAGAGTTGTTGATCTACACCAACATCAGTCCTACAAAGAAGAAGGTTGACTTGGTTAAGGGAGAGCCCTCCGCGCGATAATAAACATGACAATGAACCGTGCGTTATCTCCTGTTTCTCAACCCGCTCCATCAATGTCATGGGGCCCCTTTTGATTGAGCACGTGGGTTGGTAAATACGTGGGTTGGTAAATGCGTCGAAACCGCTGTGGCTATCATTTTAGCGATCAAAGCATTTCGCGTAGGTGGAGCGAGCGTGCCAAAGTGTCAAAACTGAGACGAGCACTTGTGATGTGACGACGTGAGCTTGCAAGCCGCGTCTCTCATCATCCCCTTCTCTGTCGTGACAAAGCCCCGTGGGTGTACAATGCTTGGAGTCGCTGACGCCCATTGAGAAGAACGCACGGTATTATATACAATTATGGCTATTAAAAATAGCTCTTTTTCAGAGGCGACCTGGCCACCAATGACAACTTTAACGAAGTGGTTTATCATGTGGAAATTTATAGCAGCCAAATACTCTATAGGCATGTTGATTTAAAATGTGGAGGAGAAAAATCGGAGGACCCGGAGAAAAAATCCACGTGACTACGGGGAGAACACGCAAACTCCAAATATACAACAGCAGGCGTCAGGGTTGGGATCGAACTCACGGCCTCCTGCATACCAGGCGAGGTAGTTAACATCTCTTAGCCACCGCGATGATGATGAGAGAGAGAGAGACACGCAAACTTCAAATATACAACAGCAGGCGTCAGGGTCGGGATCGAACTCACGGCCTCCTGCACACCAGGCGAGGTAGTTAACATCTCCTAGCCGCCGTGGCGCCCCCATTCACCCCACAGAGCGTCTGTAGCGGCACGGGAGGCGACGCCCGCCGTAATGGGACTCCGCCACGGAGCGCCGAGTGGCACTCGCGTGCCGCAACAATCGAGAAGAAAGTCTGCTGAGTCAGGGGCAGGTGGCGCGATAAGCGAGAGGCCTTCCCAAGGAGCACTCGGACGTTAAGATGCGGAAATTAATGCGATCGTAAAGAATAGACGTTCCGACACATTTGCTTTGATCGTTATTTCCCCGTACACCGGCGTAAAGTGTGTGTGTTTACTGCTGTGGAAGTTTTGAAGTTATTGCGAATTCATGCACTCAGATGCATGTGGGTGGGTGGGTGAGTGAGTGATGGAGCGAGTGGGTGGGTGAGCGAGTGAGTGGGTTGGTGTGTGAGTGAGTGGGTGATGGAGGGAGTGGGTGGGTGAGTGTGTGGGTAAATGAGTGGGTGATGGAGCGAGCGAGTAAGTGGGAGAGTGAGTGTGTGGGTGGGTGAGAGAGTGGGTGGGAGAGTGAGTGTGTGGGTGGCTGAGCGAGTGGGTGGGAGAGTGAGTGGGAGAGTGAGTGCGTGTGTGGGTGGGTGAGCGAGTGGGTGGGAGAGTGAGTGGGAGAGTGAGTGTGTGGGTGGGTGAGCGAGTGGGTGGGAGAGTGAGTGGGAGAGTGAGTGAGTGTGTGGGTGGGTGAGCGAGTGGGTGGGAGAGTGAGTGGGAGAGTGAGTGCGTGTGTGGGTGGGTGAGCGAGTGGGTGGGAGAGTGAGTGGGAGAGTGAGTGCGTGGGTGGGTGAGCGAGTGGGTGGGAGAGTGAGTGGGAGAGTGAGTGAGTGTGTGGGTGGGTGAGCGAATGGGTGAGAGAGTGAGTGGGAGAGTGAGTGAGTGTGTGGGTGGGTGAGCGAGTGGGAGAGTGAGTGAGTGTGTGGGTGGGTGAGCGAATCGGTGGGAGAGTGAGTGGGACAGTGAGTGGCTTCTCATTTTTTTCTCCACCTGTTCACTCCCTCGCATTCCCTCCCAGTTCCTCCTCGGTAATTCTGCACTCTTGGGACGTTTGCAATATTCTTGGGCACATAAATGTAAGTTGTTGTTGTTTTTGCTTTCTCTTGTAGTTGTGACTGAATTATAAATATGACATTGTAAATATGTTATGAGATATTAAGTTTTATTTAAATGGTTCATCCAGTAATTACACGCAAATGTAATTTGTAAATGTACTCTTGTTATTATTTACAGAATACACGACACCCCCTACAACCGGCGATGCCCTCCCCTAAATTGGTCCGGCGTCGAGAGGCTTCGCCTTCTTCTGTGAGAGTGATCTGTACAGCAGGGATGAGTTTCGGATTTCAAACGAAACGTCACCGGATGTCAGCTGACCCCGCCACTGGTCATCTGCGCCCGGTGGTGAGGTGGTTTGGGGGAGGGGGTCGTCGACAGCGAATTCGGTGGCCGTTCTCTCTTTCCACCCCGGTTTGGTAGCCTAGGCCGGCCGACCCCTCTTAGTCCAACGTTTCGCGCCGTCGCCCCCACGGGACCTCCCAGAGCAGCGGGTGACGCCGTGACAGCGTCGTGACACTCTGGACGCGTGCGTAGAAGACTCCTCAGCCTACGGCACCGCGCCTGACAACCTGCGGAGAATAAACAACTTTAAAAAAAGCACGCATTTTGTTCGCTATCGAATTACAATTTTATTACGGCACTCAAGAAGTTGTAACGTTGCCAGAATATGGCAAGGCCTTTGAGGGACGACATAGATAACAACATCTGCTATAAGCAGTCCGCGTTTATTTATTTTTAAAGCCACCGTAATTTTATTTTTTCCTCCTAAAATGTGATCCTGCTGACAGATCGTAGGCCTTAAAATGTAAGACGATAATTAAACGAGACATTCTTAAATCCGAATCTCTGTATGCTTGGCTTAACAACGCCTGGGCAAATGCACTCGCTTACCTTGATGACAATTAACATTGACACTCGTATTAAACACTACCCACATGCAGTAAATGATGTCGAACAAAAAGCGGCTTTCACTAATTCCCTAACAAAAGATAATTAAACAAGTTTGACTCCACTACCTTGATGTTATCTGATTCAAAGGTGTGTGCAATGGTGCTCATAATGTAAAGATTTGATTAACTGCGCGAGCGGGATTTGCGATTGAGGAGCGTTAGCCCAGCCGAAGCACGTCATGTGGATGGTCCTGAACGTGCAGCGAGCTTCGAGCTGATCCTCCCTCGGTTCAAAGTCGGCACCATTGGTCCATTAAACTGGCATCACAAGGATAAATACATAACAGGCGGGGAAATAGCCCCCTTTCGTGCCGGAAAAATATAGAGGCCACCGAGAGAGCGTATACGAGTTGGAGACTGCACTTAACACTGCTGTTCTCCTGACGAGAATTCAATAAACAAAATTGTCGTTCAGAGCTTCTGTGGGTCTTGAACCACTTTTCAGAGCAGTCGCGGTCCGCGTTGCCACCTATCCCGCGAGAGCTCATGCACATTGCAGGGTGATGTGATGCTGGGAATTCGTCAAATGAAGGCAAAAATAGCCTTCCACACTCTCCACCAAGAACACGGTTCCCTCGCGAGTTAACCTTCCGCAGTCTCGTCAACCCTGGGGGGCATTGTAATTCCACCCGTCGGATGTAAATAACTGCCAGGCCGAGCAAGGGATTGCAGTGGCTGTGACAGGTATGGCGGTGGAGCTGTTAAATACGAACGGCAAATGGCTTCCCGCTGTGTTTTATTACTATTATTATTTATTCCCAGCAAACGACATCGCGCGGGTGCCGCAAGTATTGACAAGCCGATGGATTTTCAACAAAACCCGAGGTCCGACCTCGCGGCAGACGCCACAACGGCGGTGCCTCAACGTGGACGCGACGCACCCCAGGACGCACGCGGTCCGTTCGCGATGCCGGCGCCGCTGGTTCACGTCGACCGTGGGAAACGGAGGCGTTAGGCACAAGCGCGCGATAGACGATTTGCGGACTTTGGACGTTGTGCCCTGATGTCAACGTTCCTAGATTTTGATAGTACAGTAGCCCCAACTGAAATGAGCCGCTGGCCCGCGGTCGTCCCCAGCCCTGCGTTGAACGCCGTGTTGTAAATGGAGGCGGTGTGGAACGTCGTACGACGATTGGCTCCCATGGATGGCTTCTGCGTGCGCCTTACGTTCGAGTGCTCACCGGTTCAAAATAACTCTGCCCGTCGGTGTTGGGAGCCTCGAGCCGAGTAATGGACATTCCACATTCCTATGGCGTGGCGTTAGTCCATCCACAGGTCGCCAGTTTGGTTGCATGTCCCAGCGCGGCTGTTCTCTAACAATAGACACGTTTCGATTTAAAGCTTTCGTGACTGCAAGGATTGATCTTCTTTGGTTCTTTCGGTAAAGTCACCACGTAGAATGAGAATAAAATAATAAATTAATAAAATAAAATGACGCAATAAAATTCTCACGACGTTTCGGCCGCAGCACAAGTGGCCTTCATCAGGTGAAGGGACCAGACTGTCTCGAGGACAGCGCTGGAGTGAACACAGCCAAGCTCTGACCGCGACCTTTAAGTTGTGTGAGAAAAAACAGAGGGCCTTGACAAAGGAATTAGCATAAAAATTTGCATTTAATTGGCGGACTTAACATGATGAACGGTGTAGAGGGGGTGAACATGTGCAGACTGGCGAGGGGGGGAGGGGGAGTTTACATATTGATGGTGTGAAAAGGGAATTTAAGCAGCTGCGAAAGTTTGGGATACCACTACTTGAAAAAATATACTGTACCATTGATAATTAGTTTAATGTTTGGTTCGGATAATTTAGCATTGAAATAGCTGCGTGATTAGCTTGTGACTGGTCACAGAAGTGGCTATATTAAAGTCAAAGCCTACACATCCACAGAGGCACCTTGTACAAATCAAACAGGAGAATTTAGCATTGAAATAACTGAGGGATTAGCTTGTGACTGGTCAGAGAAATAGCTATGTTAAAGGCAAAGCCTACATATCCACAGAGGCACCTAGTACAAATCAAACAGGAGAATTTAGCATGGAAATAGCTGAGTGATTAGCTTGTGACCAGTCACAAGCTAATCAGTGACCAGTCACAAGCTAATCAGTCACAAGCTAATCACTCAGCTATTTCAATGCTAAATTCTCCTGTTTGATTTGTACTAGGTGCCTCTGTGGATGTGTAGGCTTTGACTTTAACATAGTTAATTCTATGACCAGTCACAGGCTAATCCCTCAGTTATTTCAATGCTAAATTATCCTGTTTGATTTGTACTAGGTGCCTCTGTGGATGTGTAGGATTTGACTTTAACATAGCCATTTCTGCGACCAGTCACAAGCTAATCACTCAGCTATTTTAATGCTAAATTCTCCTGTTTGATTTGTACTAGGTGCCTCTGTGGATGTGTAGGCTTTGACTTTAACATAGCTATTTCTATGACCAGTCACAAGCTAATCACTCAGTTATTTCAATGCTAAATTCTCCTGTTTGATTTGTACTAGGTGCCTCTGTGGATGTGTAGGCTTTGACTTTAACATAGCCATTTCTGTGACCAGTCACAAGCTAATCACGCAGCTATTTCAATGCTAAATTATCCGAACCAAACATTAAACTAATTTTCAATGGTACAGTATATTTTTCAAGTAGTGGTATCCCAAACTTTCACAGCAGCTTAAATTCCCTTTTCACACCATCAATATATAAACTCCCCCTCCTCCCCCTCGCCGGTCTGCACATGCTCACCCCCTCTACACCGTTCATCATGCTAAGTCCGCCAATTAAATGCTCATTTTTATGCTAATTCCTTTGTCAAGGCGCTCTGTTTCTTCTCACACAAGCTTTAAGGTCGCGGTCTGAGCTTGGCTGTGTTCGCTCCAGCGCTGTCCTCGAGACAGTCTCGTCCCTTCACCTGATGAAGGCCACTTGTGTAGTGGCCGAAACGTCGTGAGAATTTTATTGTGTTATTTTTTATTATTTTATTTTTATTTTATTCTCATTCTACGTGACTTTACCGAAAGAACCAAAGAAAATAGACACGTTTCTACATCCCCTGGTCCCCGCAGCAGCAGCAGTAGGAATGTCCACCGCAGTCAATCGGCAGGTCGCGGACGGTGGGGTAAAGTGTGGGTGCTTCCACCTCTTCCAAGACAGCGTGGAAGAGTAGACCAAAGTACCCTCTTGTACCTTTAGTGTGGAAGCCCTTGAGCCAGCAGCGGCTTCAGCAAAATAATAGCAGCGCTGCACCTTTACAACCGGATGGGCTGATGCTGGCTGTCTCGGTGATATTTGCGCGGCGCTTTGTGCGTTTGTTAAGATTGCCGCTATTACAGGACACGTAACACAACACTCATATCAGGCGAAACTTTTTCCACGGCGCGGTTTTTTTTTGTTTTGCGGAGAGAGAAAGGGAGCTCTATTTCAAGCGGTGAAATAAATCCCCGGTCCCATTTCGGCGTGTCAGCGCGGCTCTGCGGCAAGGGACGCAGCAAGACGAATGATCTACTTTGAGAGAGTCCTCGTGGCTGGCGAAAGATGCACAATTCCGCGTTAGGCGGCCAAGCAGCGCCTTTAACTTACGCACCTGCAGCAATCCATTCCCCGAGCGCCACCCACCCCGCAGACCAGACAGAGACGAGACGGAGTGGGGGACCTCGCTCTTTTAACGCCTTGCGTCCTCGGTCCCGTGAATCCCACGAGGATTCCCGTGGCACGGATCCCGCGCGAGCATCGGCCCGCTCTTGCTTCACGAGCAGCAGACGGCGGCACGCGGGCCGTGCCGTGCGGCGGGGGCTTCTCAGCGACGTTGGGACAACGTTGGCGTGTTTACCAGGGTCGCCGTGCCGTGGCGCGGTGGCGACTACCTGGTTAACGTGCGACGAGCAAACGCTGGCCACGTAGTTTAAAAACCGTTGGGTTAACGTTGGGCCAACGTTCCATGTTTATTGGGTTGCTGCGTGGGTGACTTGCGTGAAACGGCACCGCCCCCCACCCCGGCCCCCTTGGGAGTCCCTCCCCCCCATCCCGCCCCCCCTGGCCCCCTTGGAAGTTTCCCCCACCCCCCGTCCTCCACCCGTTCGTCAATAACACCGTGACATTTTAATGGAATAGTTGTATAATGGACGACGTTTCAGGCAATGGCCTTTTTCACAGCGCACTACACGTGTTTGTGTACGAGGGCCCGTCGCCTGAAACGTCGCCTAAATAAATAAATTCGCCAAATAAATTCGCAGCTGGTGAAATGGCTTCGTGCGTGAAAACTTCGGTGCATCATCTCAAGATGTGGGGGCAGAGCGATGGCGCTCACGCGCGGGATCTCTTCTCTAAAAATCTCTCCTCGTGCCGCTCTCTCTCCTCCCTCCCCATCTCCCATCAATCTCTGCTCTCTCCTCATTCTCCTCCTCCTCCAAGTCTGCTCTCGAAGTCCAAGCCATTCCTCCCCACGCTGACCAATATCTGTTGACTCTCTCCCTAATATCTTCAGCTCTCTCCCTAAAGACCAAACTGCTTCATATTGATTAATCTCTCTTCAATTCCCCACGACCCCTCCGGCCGTTCTCTGTCAAGTGTGCGCGTGTGTTGTGTGCGTAGCGCCAGCGGTCGGCACACTGCCGCTACGCACCCGGCCACCCGAGTTCGATCCCCGCTCGCGGACAACACCAGCGGCGAATATCTAAACCGGTTCTGGGCCTCCCCTAGGTCGACTCAGCCTCAGATGAGCATCTGGTACAGTGTGTAAACACCGCCACTCGGGAGACAAAGGCAGCCGGGCGTGGTGCTGCCCACCCACCCCATTCCATGCCGTGCCAGTCTTCATAGGTGCTCGCAAACAGCACTTGTCCCAACAGTTTGTTATGGCTATACGGGGGATCTTTGCTTTTGTGTACGTAGTTGCTTAACCGTGGCCCTGTCTGTACCCGTGTCTTGTAACACACACCTTGCTGTGATAATGCAATCGCCTGACATGGTATCAAAAGCCCTGAAGTAAATCCACTGCTGGATGAGGACCTTCCACCCCCATGCTGTGCGAACCCTAGAGGACATTTGATCCTACTTCACCGTGCTGGTCTCTGACGTTGGGGTCGAGTGCCACTGTGGATTCCGCTGCCCTCCCCTCTGCTGACAATGGTGCCGACCCAGCAGCCCCCAATGGCCGCTTGATGCATGGGGGTCCCCCCCCCCCCATTGCAAGCACTATCCACCAGTGAACATGCCATCTTTGGGCCAACATTGGACTAACGTTGGTACAACGTTGCGCCAACGTTCCACGTTCAATGGGCAGGCTCTTGCCGAGATGCGGGTGATTTGATCATAGGCCGTTCCCTCGCACTATTTAGGCGCATTGGGAATCTACGGATAAAATTCGCCTTACAAATGTAGATCATTATTATATTACCTCCTGGGGTCAGAGCGTTTGACTCACATTTGGAAGGCGATAAGTTCAAGTCCCGTTTGCGGGTTGCCTCAGTCGACCCGCCTCCTCCCCCTCTCGGCAGGGAGACACGATGGCCGAGACCGTTTCTGTAAAACCAAATTGGACTGTCATGTCTCACCTTGTAGTGCATCAATGAGCCTTCTCTGCCCAGCACCAGGGCGCTATTAACTGGCGTGTAAACAAGCGTTTGTAATTCACACAATGGGCACTTTCTTGTTTGTTGAGAGAGCCCCTACAGCCCCCCCATTGTATTTATAGACGTATTTACACATCACAGCGCTTACACACACAGACAACTGTCGCCTGTGCGTCGACAACAATCACTTAGTGAGGTTTAGTGTTCTCTTTAAAGTGTGGTTCCCCCAACCCCCCCTAGCATCACTCGCATCACATTGCGATATGCAAATGCGGAAAACGAATCCAATTATCCCGCACTCAAACGGGAGAGCGCGCGCGAGTCAGCGAGCGAGCGAGCGAACGCTCTCCCGATGCGTTTCAACGTCCGGCGAACGATCGGCTTCCTCTCTGCTCAGAACAGACTGCGAGGGTGTGGGGTGGGATGAGTTGGGGGGGGGATCAATTGGGGGGGGAATGAGTTGGGGGGGGTGAGTTGGGGGGGGTCCCCTTCACGCTCGCTCACGACGAGCCACGTCTGCACCGCGCCCTTCATCTCTGTCAAGCGCCCCTTGACCCTCCTTTCACTGCCCCAACAACAACAACAAAATGCCCCTGGTCTCTCCAATGTTTCTCGTCGTAGTAGTAGTAGTCTCAGAGCCGCAACAAAATGTTTATACCATGAACCCCGTGAACGTCACGCGGCGTGGAACTCGGCTGCGGAGGCACCGGTGGTCGTTTTCGTGGCAGTTCTTCGCTTTTTTGTGTCACGGTCCTTTTAGTTGCGGTAGAATTTCAGCTAAGTCACAGCCGAAACAGACTTGAGTGGTGGCTTTCGGCAGATTCAACTCTCTCATGAAATCATGGGCCGGGGGGGGGGGGCTCTGGGCAACCGAACAATGTGCTTATCATGAGAAGAATACCATGGATCCATCTCCAGAGATGCCCTGCAGCACCCACAATGCACTCCTCAAGATGCTGGCAATGCCAACACCAGAAGCGGTGGCCTGTGTAGAATATTGGGAAAACACCAAATCTAGGTCGGACAGGAGACGACACGAAGAAGAAGTTTAGTCACGGTATTTTGTGGATATTAGTCAGTTGATTGTCTTTGGTTGACGAAAGTGCTTAAAAATTTGGTCAAACACCCTCGGTCATTACTGTTTACTCTACAGTCAATAACTCGACACATTCCTTATTAGCGCCGGCCAACCAACAATGCTGGGGACGATATACCGCATGTAACCATGTCAGAGATGGCTTGTTTATGGATACGCAGCCAGAAACCATCACGCCGCGGTCTTCCCCAGCGCACCAGTCCTCAACGACGCGGCTGAACGATCTCAGTCTGCGTCTCCGCTCGCACTCGGCTGGTTTCGTCTTGGAACGGTCAATGGCGCGTCGGTCTTCGGTGGGCGGCGGTCCTTCGTCGAGCTCGAATTTCGTCAATTCAAATACTTTTTCTGACGAGCATTTTCGTCTCGAACTTCGGGAACAAAAGTGAACGCAATGCCGGGCACCCGCCTCATCGTTGTAAACTTAACGCGCTGCAGCCCCAGCCCCGTGCAACGCTGTCCACTGTGATCACCCGAAGCGTTTATCTCATTACCTTCAATTTCCTTCGCGCCCCTGCTTACCCCTCTGACATAATTACTCCCCTCCCACCCCATCCTTCACAGTCTGGCTCAGCTCTGAGACAACTATTGCCTGCTTGCCTTGTCACCTGTGCTCGCTCTTGAATCCACACGGATGAGGAGGTCATCCCGTCCCTTCTCCTCACCGCTCCCCTCTCGTCTGGGATGGCCCCATTCTCCACACTTGCCGATTTATTGAATCGTCACGATTCACAGCCACAATTCCATTAAAGAATTGAATCTGTTTTGTATATATATTGTTGTGATTGTGGCAGCCTCGAGTGCAGTTCTTGCAAGGCCCGCGGGCCGATGGTGGCCTTTAGTGCAGCCCCTGACGCACCCCATCATCATCATCATCGTGCTTTGAAACCCAATGGTTTCAAATGTGTGGTGGCCCTCACACGGAGCAGTCTTATCGGTGAAAGTGGCCCCCCTCTGAAAATGAGTGAAGAACGCTGTTCTCGTGGCCGCAGGACGGGGCGTGTGAACCCGTTGTGTACAACGTACCCACGCGTCCCCTGGTCAGTCCGCTGCTGGGTGAGGACACCCCCATGCCGCGCGAGGCGTGTGGGTTGGTTATTGGACCGTTCCTCCAGCCTGCGGCGTGGTGTGCTTCCGTGAACAACAGGCAGCATATGCATAGGAGCATTGAACTACAGTACAACAACAATATATTTTGCTGCTGTAAGGCTAGTTCTCTGCCAATCCACGTAGGCCCGCGGCCTACAAGAACAGGCTGTTGTGCGTGGTGGTCACCCATCCAGGCACCCTTCCTAGACGTCCGTCTCCCCAGTGTGGATGAGTCGGCCAAAATCCAATCCAGAGGGCCTCTCCAGTGTGGAGGGCCTTCTACCCGCAGTGGCTTGAAGCAGCTATCGCAGGGCTGCCCCTTTGAAACGCAATGTGTAATAAGATAACGCTCTGTACGTTAAATAATGGGTCATTCTGGAAATTGTAGGCTCGTGTGTTTATCTTATATAGGGCAGCATTAATAGTGAATGTGCCAATTGTTTGTTAATTGTATTTGATGTTTCGGTGTAATCATTGCTGCCACCTCATTATTTCCATGCTATTAAGCTGTACAGAACAATTTTCGATAGAGATTATAATATACTGTAATAGCGTTGATCTTGCAACCGATTTGCATGAAGCTAATGGTGTTAATTCACACCGTGTTTTCCCCCGATGGCCTGGATGTTCACATGGTACATGGCGTGCGGACGTGCATTCAGAATTCACAAAGTTAACGAGTACTGTTGTGTGTGAGTCTCTATGCTGGGCAATGACGTGCCTATTGGGGACAGTACATCAAGTAGGGTTTCTGACCAATTTGTGTGGAGCTTGAGTGCCATCCTCTCCTCTGTGTCGGTGACCTCAAGGTACAGTAAACCCATAGGCAAGGGATGGTGCGGCGGTGTAAATGGGTCATGGTGAGTGCACTGGACTTGCAATCAAGAGGACACCAGTTCGGTTCCATCTTCCTGTGCGGCAGTCGAAACAACGTTGTTTTTTACCCCCCCCCCCTTCCCCACTGCCTCTGTCCACCCAGTAAACGGGTGCACCATAGTTATTCGATCGACAGGTCACGTGTGGTGGGATGAAGTGTGGGTGCTCCAACTTCTTTCTGATGTCTGGCCTGTGTGGGAGAATTGGCCAAATGCTCTCGAAAATGGGTTCACTTAAACTCTCCCATAAAGGTCATTTCGGCATGGAGAGGCCTCCATCCAGCAGTGAATCGACGAGTCGCTGTGTGCACGTATAAACTATTTCAAATGCAACTGGCCTAAGATCCCAAGCGGGACATATTTTAGCAATCCGTGTCTGTTCCGTAATGCCTTTGCTGGGTAAAACGTGCAGAAGCATCCTGATACTGTGCACACGCCAGGAACACGCCACCCCATTCACAACAATTCCTCTCCACTCCGTGCAAATCCGTCAAAAATAATCTCGCAGTGCCGTGGAGCTGACATTTGTTTTTGTCTTCGGGCAACGCCACTAATAAAAACCCCTTTTGTCAACTACGCTTGTCGCAGTCCACTTTATATTCGTTATCATAGAGAGACTGGTCTTGCCCCTGGCACTGAGCCCTGTGGGAAGGACACGAGGAGAGCGAAACTGAAATTGAATATCAGTTATTTTGGCCCCAGCTGCGGAAAACTACTCCGCCGGCTCGAGATGGGAAAGAGACGTCGTGATGTGCAGATATTAGTTTTGTCTGGGGAATAGAGGTGGGATCTTTTAATCAGTGGTGTAAAGTGCAACAGGAACAAAAGCTCTCCGATGAAAATGTTCGAGTGTACTTGGTGTCCGCTCTAACCTCTGCCTCCCGGCTCTATCGAGTCACTCAAAATGAGACGTGTACCCAAAATACACCACCCCAATTACAACTGTTCAGGAAGGTCCAAAGCGGCGATATGTATATTATTGCATGTCTATGCCTTCTTTCGTGTGGCTGATGTTATTTTGTTATTATTCTAGATAATCTTGATTTGAAGCTTTCGTGACTGCAGGAATCCATACTCTTTGGCTCTTTCGGTAAAGTCACGTAGGTAGAAATAAAATAAAATACAATTTTAGAGTATTCTGCATAATGTGAGAGCTAAACAATGCCGTCCTACTGTATTAGGCGAACAATATTTGAGTGTTTAAGTCGTGCATAACCACTGGCTGGGAAGAGAACATTCCCATGAGTACCACTGAATACCGTCTGTGCAATTGCTAATGGCCTTTATGAACACCTATGCATATGATATCTATCTCAAAACTTCGCACAATGGACGATTAAATATTTAAAAGCATATTTCACTCTGTATTTTGCGTCGAGTGGGGAGGTTGTTTTAGAATACTGTACGTGTAAAATAGTGCTCTAATGAGCACACCGCGCTAATGGTTAGACCGACTGTCTCTGGATGAAGCAATCTTGAAATTTGTCCTTGGTACAGATTGGCTGAAGGGCATGCGGTGGCAGAGAGCGATGCTCTATCAGGATTAATCTGGCTCACTGGGTTAGACTCAATCAGGTTAGAAGCAGTACGCCGGGGCCTGACTCTACACAGCCCAACCGCTGAAATGCTCCACACGCCCCAACCTCTCTTTATGCCTGCTTTCCTGCTGCTGCACTGCAATACTTATGGTTGTTGTTTGGCTGCATGGTCATTGATATTAGGGCATCATTCTGGCCGGAGCTCACCGCGGCTGAGTTTTGAAAAATACGAACCATCATTTCCCTATTTCCTCCTTACCACACCTTTTCCTTTCCTAGTGTTGGGATTTGGGGGTGGTGGGGGTGGTGGTAGGATCTAGGGAGTTGGGGGTTGCAGGGCTATATAAAATATGAAAATTCCACGATAAATTATATGGCTATTATCATGCAGACGCAGTTTAGAAGCAACACACTGAGCCTCTGCGCGTTCGGTAATTGCAACGCTACAAAAGCCTTCCCACCTCCCTCCCCACACACTCACCTCCAATGTCTTTCAGTGTTGCATTTCTGAATGGTCGTTTAATATTATTGCATTGTTCATCAGAAAAAGTGGTTAACGCGCTGCGAGATGAACACTGCAGTTTGAGTTCAATCCCTGGCCACAGTGTCGATCGATACCACAACTGTACCTGGGGACTCCCTCTTCATCAACCTGTACTGACCATCATGCTGTAGTATGGTCATGGGAATTGGGAGACCTTCTTCCACGAGTGAATTGAGAAAGGGCTGTAAAATTATTATGGATAGACTCTCACCCCTATGTGGATTTTACACCATTGACTAAGGGGCCGTCCATAAATTACGTCACGCGATTTTTGACGATTTTTGACCCCCCCCCCCCCCCTTCGTAACACGGCGTCAAAAAAAGTCAGACCGTCCCTCAAATATGACGTCACAAAGCTCTACCCCCCACCCCGAAAAAAAACATGCTTCAAATCGCTTTAAACTATTGCCATTTTAGTGCGTATTTAATGTGCACTCTGATGTTGTAAGAGAAAACATTTATTAAAAAGTCTATTTAATTAAGTAGAATGTGTGTTTATAGTTATTTAAAGTTGCGCATTTTGATGTGACGTCACATTTCTCAAACCCCCCCTCGTCACACATCGTCACAAATGTCTGAACCCCCCCCCCCCCCCGGTGCGTGACGTCATTTATGGACGGCCCATAAGGACTGTAAACAGATGAGCGCTGCACCACGCTTATGTGAGCAGGAAAACTCTGGCATTTCAGATTATTCGCATTACTATTATAATCTTACAATTACACATGCCACTGGACAATATTGGTCTGAAAGCCGTTGACTGATGGACAAAATATATTAGTGTTTGAATACGGAGACAGAGAATTGGACTCAGTTTATATTTTATTTTACCCACAATGCTCCACGGCAACACATAATGAATTTGTGTACCATATTTCACATTGGTCTCTCCGAAATCAAGCAATCTTGAATTGCAGCGGTAGAATGATTTGTGTACCAAACGTTACATTTCTAGGTCAGAGTGCTGTAAATATTGTGGCTCGCTGACAAGCCAACAAAATTGGATACATCTGCAAAGTGTCATGCCTTGCAGTTGCCTACGTACGGATGCTGATGAAATGGAAGTGTCTGGCCGCTTGTTCTTGCAATACGTCAATTACTGAACCGTAGTAACGTCTGCCGCTCTGAACGTCTTGATAATCGCCTCCTCCTACTGTGGCCCAGCCTCATCTGTCTGCAATTTCTACTCTTGGATAATCGTTGCCGTGATTTGGGGCAAGCTGTTGCGTGTACTCAGGACGAGATGGACTTTGATTTCCCTGGTCATTATCGAGCAGCTTCAATTTTGGGACGACGGCCCTGCCTATTATGAGGCCACAGCGATAATGCAAACCTCGTCAACGTGGGGATACGGCATTCCCTTTCCCATTCTCGTGGCAAATCGGAGTCGTGATGTGGGGCTGCTTGTGTTTTTACACCACCAATGTGCAAACCTACCACACACAACTTCCATCTCATCCGTTGTGTTCATCCACCGCACTGCGGATCACAACGTTTCTCTCTCTCGCTGCTTTTGCGCTCACAGAGAGCGACTTTGAGATTCCCTCTCGTCATCTCTCTTCCCAAGCTCTTATCATCACCTCGCTCAATTATAGGAATGTGAATACCCTCATCTATTGTTAACTTTGACGCTGTGTGTTGCTGGAAGCTTGGTGTTTTTGGGCCTGTACTGAGCAACTTGAAATAGAGAGTAAAATAATTAGCAAAATAAATATATTAGGGTGTACATTTATCTTAAAGGCATGGATTAGTTTCATTCGCTAGAAGGAATGGATGGCCAATGGTCAAGAGTAATGACAGTGGCATTAGTTTGGGTGATGTTGCTGCTTGATTTTCCAAATGCGGTCATTTACAGTTAATTTATTTGAAAAAAAAGGCAAATGTAGACCCTGTGGTGGGCACACAGGTGCCTACTCCTGATTCGAGTGACACCACTGTGCCGAAGGCGCTCCGTGAAACATGTGCGCGTGCTCTTTTATTTTTCATACTCGCGCAGGATTAAACAGGCTGCCCGCCGAGTTCCAACCATGCAAAACACAGCGCCCGAGCGATTTAGGGAAGACGTTGCACGCACACGGACAACATGGACACACACAGACACACACCTTGTGTATGATAGCTTTTTATTCATTATAGACAGTTTCTTTTCTTATAGCACATTGGGCAATTTATGGGTGAGCAACAAAGCATTTATTGTGATATAATTAAGATGGTCACTTTAAAATGACTGTAGACTATGGGAAAGTAACTGTAACACAACATAGCATTGCACCGCACTCACTAAAGTTTAACACTGTAAAGAATAACGGCTCTAAGTACATGAAAAGTAACCCTACACGGTCCCTAAGAGCCCAATACACAATAAAGAGTTATATTAAGCGTTGTCACTTCATGTTTATTAGCTTTATACACTAAGCAGCGTTAGCAAATCACTTACATCCATGTAATCCATAAAGAAAAAAGATCAACATGTAATTAACCATTTGTCTTTCATCCCTGAAAACAAATACTGTAACGAAATAAAAGTACAGGATATAACAATTTTACATGGTGAGAAATAATCAGTCGGCTGCAAGCAGAGCTTTGTTGACAATCATGACAAAACACCTCATCATCCTTGGCTCGGCGAGCAACACGCGTCAACAAAAACACAGTGCTGTGGACAATATTGAGTTGATACCATCTCGTCGCAAACCCAACACTTTGCCGTCAGTGATGAGTCAAACCCACATTATCCCAACAGGAGAACGCGTGCAGGCTGGAAACAAAGAGAAATCGCGACAAGCAAAAGGCGCGCTGCTCACAAACAGCAGAAAGGCACGACTCCCATCGTGCCCTGCATGCCATGCGACCTCCACGTCTGCGGCCTCAACAGTAATAACAACACGGCGGCCACAGGCTCACCCGGTGAACACGGGACATCGTCGGGTCAACGTTGGCCCGACATTGCACATTTACCGGGCGGCTCTTTTAGGGGAGAGGGTAGGTGGTCTGGACACGGCTGAGAGCATTGTTGCGACGTGCAAGGCATGATGGGAGTTGTGCTGTCTGCGGGCCGCACCTTCGATGCGTTGTCGCCTTTTCTGCACGCGATTGCGCGCGACACAGGAGTGGTCTAAACAAGGGTAGCATCGGGCGTAAGAAAACTAAACCTGGCGAAGGTGTTGGAGCCTCGTGTTTGGTTTTATTCCATTCACTGCCCCACGTCAACGGGACAGTACCGCTCCCAGCAGAAGGAGCTTCCCCCCCCCCCCACTGGCAGATATTTTTACTGCTATAACTTTCATATTTTTTAAAAGCTCTCTTTGACGATATGAAAAAAAGAAATCTAGCTACTACGGTCCCGACTTAACATGGCTTGTTTGTAAATTGAATGTTTTTGATTGTAAAAGTGTTTATTTCATTGTATTCCCCAAGAAGCTGTTAGTCTTAGAAAATGTTAAATTGCTTAACTTTTACACATCGCCGACGTTGGGAATTATCAGACTGATATCGTGAATCGCTTTCGTAACAAAGCATCGTCGTGTGTGACTGCCCCAGGTACACAACACAACACACACATATACTATACATATTTATTTTGTTTTGTTCGTAAGAATCACTTATTCACTGTACACTCAACAGAATGATAAAGGAAAAATAATATACATTTATAGCAGTGGAGTCCATTGTACAAGGACAGACAATGGAGCTGATATTATGACGAAACCATTGATTCACTTCGCTAGCAATGCCACAGTACGCCTACTGGTCTGGGTTTTGTTTTGACAGAGCACTTGAAGGTCAATTTGGCATAAATCCTAGCCAAGTGCATTTAAAGAAAACTTACTGTGCTGTTATATTTATATACTATATGCTAATAATGTACGCTATGTATAATGTTTTATATACACACACTTACATATACCGCATATGCTGACTGCGTGTAGTCTATACGCACGCCGCATATACAACACACACTCTCTCTCTCTCTCTTATGCGCGCTCGCTTATTCTACTACTTTAATAATTGTCATGTTTCGTTTTGTTGATAGATTACAGTCTGCTCCAAGCATTTATTTATTATTCATATAGTCTTTCATAACGGATTTGTTTTTGTATACAGGGTATAAAATTAGCAGAGGGGAGGAAGGCGGGCGGGCGGGGGGGGGGTGGTAAGATTTTACGAAAAAGTTTTATTGCTGTATAAAACCAAACAAAGGACATCTTCATACGCCGGTCGCGCCTGGCAAGGTAACAGCAGCTATCGGGGGGAAATGAGAATAGGAGTAAAATCACTTCAATAAAGACCGTTCGTTGTTCCGCACATCAAAAGGTCTTGGCACATTCGTGTCTCTCTGTACATTGTTTTGTGACCACCAGGTTAGCCAGTCTTCGTAGCGAGAGTTGCAAAAGGCAGAGTCCGGCGGCTCGCGGCTAGACGCGGGTGGTGGAGTGCGCGTGGGGCAGAGTGGCGCTGTTCATGACAGCGAATCCGCCGAAGGCGTGCATCGGCTGCATGGCGCTCGGGATGAGCGTGATGGTGTTGGGGGTCATGAGCGGAATGTCGTCGGGCGAACGCCGCATGGCGAGCGCGTAGTCGCACTCGGGCCCGCCCGCCACGTTGGGCCGCAGCGAGTCCAGGGCCACGCACGGGAAGTCGCAGGTGTGCTCCTCGCTCTCCACGCCGCCGAGCTGCTGCTGCTGCTGCTGCTGCTGCTTCATCTGCAGCGTCATGACCTCCTCGTCGCGGTTGCCGCGACCCATCCGCTCGCCGGCGCCCACCGGCCGCTCGGGTCCGCACCCGCGCTCGGGGCTCTGCCGGCGGTAGGCGCCGTGCCGGCTCTTGTCCCGGCGGTAGTAGAGCGCGGCGAAGGCCAGCACGTTGAGGAAGAGCAGCGAGGCGCCCACGGCGATGGTGACGCTCAGCTCCGTCGAGTAGTCTCGCTGGTCCTCGACGAGGACGCTGGAGGCGTCGGCGGGGCCCCGCGCGTCTCCGCCCTTCTTCGCGCCGTCGTCCTGCCCGCGGCCCTTCCCGGGCGCCGCCGCGGACGAGGCGACGGCGGCGGCGGGCCGGCGGGTCGTCACCGACCACGAGGGCCGCGTCCCCGAGCGGCGGGGAGCTCCCCCGGCGGAAGAGGAGGAGGAGGAGGCCGGCGTGGCGTAGGGCGAGGGCGCCTTGGTGGTGGTGCTGGTGTACTGGAACATGTCGTGCAGGTTGTGCAGGTGCGGCACCAGCTCGAGCCAGAAGGCCACCTTGGTGGCGCGGTAGTGCTCGCGCACGCGTGGCTTCAGGCCGATGTGCAAGTAGTGCTGGTCCTTGGGGGAGTACTTGGACCAGGCCATCTCCTCGTAGCGGTTGGGCTTGTTGTGGATGAACTTGGTGTCCTGCGGCACCGGCGCGTTCGGGTCCCTGCATCCGCCCGGAGCGGGGGGGGCAAGGCAGGTGACACGTGAGTACGGTACAACGGGGCGCGCGTCAGGCACGTCACGTGTCAAGGCAGCTTTTTCGAATTTTTTTAAGACTTTGGCCCGTGCCCAGAAGCTGTGATTTAAAAAATGCTATAACCGCGTAATTATTATTCCTGCCAACTTTGTTTGTATTCATAAAGGTTGTATGCACTGTTAGGAACCATTTCTCAAATGTTTACATTGTGTATTGTGTGAACGCTGGTTAAAAAGAAACAGAGGGTCTATTTATCCTCTCACCTGGTTATAAATAGCATATATAAATGAATGAATGTGCCTGATTTAATTATTTTACCGATCTTTTCCATTACCTTTTTGACCAAGTGTTCCGCTCTCAATGAGGTGACAGATTAAAAACAGCAACAACAATGGCCATGCAAGGCGGCACAGTGGTTGTGTTATTGTGCGCGAATTCCTTTGCTCGTAAATTAAATATTGATATTCTGTGTTGTGATGCAACGCTTGATTAACACCTCGGAATTGATTCCAGACCAAAGAAATATCGAAATTCGTCTTCTGTTCCACCTTGTAAACAAACACTCCCTTCATAATTACCATACCCTGAAGAACGACTGCCGCAAGAAATAGCATTGTTATATTTGTATCAGTCATGACGACAATAAAAAAATATTGCCCTTTATTTAGGAAAACCCTTCAGGCTTTTTTTTAGCAGCGTCCTGAATTGTGATGTTTGCTTGAACAACAAAAAAACCTACATGTATGACAGTATGGCACTGAAAGCTCCACACAGATAGATTCAACATTCTATTTCTGTACTGTCACACTTGGTATTCCAGTCCAGGCAGTCTCCCATCCAAGTACAAACCAGGCCCAGCTCTCCTTAGCGTCTGCTATCTGGTGAGACATGGGTCCGCTCAGTGATGTGGTCATAGGTTAACTGTAAGGCATTGTTCATGACAACAGTGAAAAAGTATTTCCAGTTTGTGCTTCTACGGTCGACACCACTGCTGTCCCTGACTCATCTTATTTCACATCGAACTATTTGCACACATGTACATCCATGGAGAGGCTGGTTCTTGTCATGAAAAATGAAATTTCTGAGGTAGCCCGTCTGATTCAGAGGTCAGAAACACCGCGGAGGTGGCACCTCGGGGATCTTGGCTGCGAATCTGAGTTTCATCCGTTTGCGATCAAAGCAGATGCCATGCTATTGCGAGTTAATGGTTCGGCCTGGGATCTGGTCATCTATGACGTCATGCATTATGTTAAATCCGTGGGTTTTTTTTTACCTAATTTGCCGAAATTGCAGTTTTGACTGTCGATGGCGATGAACATCTCTCCATTAAGCATAACGTCTTGGAAAGCAAACATATTTGGAATGTTCTCTGTTTTTTTCGGTAAAGTCACGTAGGTAAAATAAAATAAATGAAAATTAAATTAAATCACGACGTTTCGGAGGCAACACAAGCTTCTGTCTTCAGGTGGAACAGGCACAGCAAAAGAGCTGTATCAAGTGAAGAGCTCTGAGACACCCGAGATTATATACAGGTTAAGGGGGGGGGAAGGGAAGGGCTAAGTTAAGCCGCCTTTTGTTATGCTGCAGGGGGTTCGGGGGAAGCTATGGCGTGCTGAAAGCAAGCGAGTACACCCACTGGTAGAAATGTAAATGGCTGTACAATTATAAGGCAGCTAAAGTTTGACTTGGTTGATGACATCTTTCCAATGGTTGCTCAATTTAAAACCATCCTCTCGGTTGAAGTTGTGTCTGTGTTTGTGTATCTGGATGGCTTCATGGACAAATCTTTGGTAATAACCGGGAGGTTTGCATAGTACTTTGGTATCGGAGAAAACAATGTCATGAGAACCCGCTGTGTTGAAACAATGATCAGCCACGGCCGAAGAATTCGTTCTGCCGTGTTTCAAATCTGATTTGTGCTCGCGAAATCGGTCAGAGATATGTCGCTTCGTCTCCCCGATATAGCAGTCACCGCAGGTACAACTCAATTTGTAAACACCGGGGTACTGTAAGTCAGGAATAACATCCTTTACTGACGGGATCAGATCACGGATTTTGTGTACTGTATTGAACCGGACCTGGATCTTGTGTTTGTTTAGAATTTTGGAAATCTTTTTGGTAACGCCTGCTATGTATGGCAGTGTGATGATTTTAATCGGAGTATCAGGTGGTTGTTTCTGTACGGTGGGAGAAACATCTTGGCGGATAGTACGGTCAGAGTATCCGTTCATCTTGAGGGCCAGATGTACATGTTTTAATTCACTGGCCAGATGGTGTTGGTCAGAAATGCAATGAGCCCTATGGTATAATGTTTTGATGAGATAATTATTTTGAGCCGGGTGGTGGTGGGAATCAGGCTTCAAGTAGGAATCTGTGTGGGTGGACTTCCTGTAAACAGAATGCCCAAAAGAGCCATCAGTCCTACTCTCAAACAGAACATCCAAGAATGGCAGCTTGCCATCTTTCTCAACTTCCATGGTGAATTTGATGGATGGGTATCTGGAATTGATGTGGTCTAGGAAATGGTTCAAAGCTGGGAGGCCATGTGGCCAAATGACGAAAGTGTCATCCACATATCTCTTCCACACGGAAGGACGAAGGGTGGATGTCTGGATGGCGTCTCAAATGTTTTTGCTAATATTGCTGATGGGTTTTTTTAGCATTCTTGAGAATAGTGGCTATTTCAGCTCTCGTAACGTCCGCTTGGATGTGTCCTATGCCTTTGCGGGATACATCGACCTGAGAGATGATATCCTCTACTGGTATATTTTTAGGGGTGACAGCGAAATTTAGCCCTTTAGCCAGTACCGTTTTCAAATTGTCGAAATCGGGATGTTACTCTGATTAATAACGATTTTGTTAACATCCAGTTTTGTGATGTGTGGTTCTGGCTTCTTCTTTGATAGGAGGTTGAATTTAGCGATCAGGTTAGCTTTGCATGTGACTGACAGTGAATCATCAGAGGCAGCAGTCATGTTGTCAACGTGGTTCCAATCAGAAGGGGACATTTTTTGTGTTAACATTAAATGTGATTGTAAGAGAGTCTTGTCTAAACTATCGAGTTCAAATCGGAGTACTCTTATTCTCTCTGAGATTAGTGATAGGCTAGCATTAAACAAAATCCATTTAGAGTTCGGTGAAGATACAGCAGCAGATGTGAGTGTGAAAGCGATGGGTATTACCTTGTTATCACGGCATCTTTTGAGGAAGGTTAGCATCTCGATGAGCTGTGACTTGTTGTCTCGTTGTCTGTTAAAATCTCTAACAGATAGGTGAAATTCCTCCCCGTAGAGGGCATTAATTATAGATTTGAAGCTTTCGTAACTGCAAGGATTTATACTCTTTGGTGTGTGGGTAAGGGGGTCACTTGAAGGGAGATCTCAGAAGTAGTTCTGAGTAATCAGCTTCTGTGGGACACTCTCTGAATACGGGGTAATGTACTGTTCAGCGAGCGTTCCGAGTAGACATTTCTTTGTGTCGTACGTAGTGTGATGGCAGGAGCAAAATTGGAATAAAATTGGGATTTTTTTGTTGTAAACAATTTTTTTTAAACGATATGGAACTTCTCCTCACCCACTGGCACACGACCAGAATTTTAGATGAGCAATGCCTCTAACATTCACTGGACTGTGTGGTGGTGGTGGTGGTGGTCACTCTGACTTTTCAACTGTATCCTCTACCCTCACCCGCAGAGTCAATTGCTCAAAATGTCCCGCGAAATAACCTCAGGCACCCAGTGCTTGTTCCCAAGAACTGAGAAAGACGTTGTTCACCTCCTGAGCCCAAATACCAGGCTCCCCTCCCTCCACACACACACACACAAGTAAATCGCCTTTGCTATGTGTTAAAGAAATTCACAAAAAGGTAAAAAGAATTACATTGTTACTTTTTGCATCCTTCAGCTGTCCATACTGCCAGCACATTCACAGACACAAACACACAGAACACAGATCCCCGTGTAGCTTCAGCACACTGTTGAGGCAATCGCTGTTAGTGAGCACCTTTTAAAGCCAACACGGCACATGAGGGGGTGGTGTGGCTAGCACCACGCCCGGCCACCTTTGTCTCTCCACTGGTTGTTTACAAATTTAACCGTGCACTCATTTAAAGCTGAACTGACCTAGGGGAGATCCAGGACCAGTTTAGACATTAGTCACCGATGTTGGCCATGGACTGGAATCGAACTCGGGTGACCAGGTTCACAGCGTAGTGCGGTAACCACTACTCTACCGCTTCCCATATACACAAAAACACAGACACCCATGTCCACGACAACTACACAGACATTCGCAGCGTCTGTGCATGTGTGCACAACACATTAACAGTGTCTGTGCATGTATTTGCACGACACACATACAGACGGACAGACACACGAACGCACAAGATGCATACACACAAAGACAACACACACACCCTCACCGGCACAGACACAGAGACTAACAACCGCCGTGTACACACTTCGGACAAAAGCATCGGTGCGCATCATGTCACCGGGGATAGGTTTCGCAAAAACAATATCCTACTCTCTCCACTCCCATCATCAATACCACAGGTGGTAGCTCATCATCAAAACATCGGCTCATCAAAACATCGGCTCATCAAAACATCGGCTCATCAACAACGCCACGGGGTGGCTTGCTCAGTCCAGTTCCTGTGAACGTCTAGTCCAGTGCAAGGAACGTGAACGGGGTTTCGTTGCTGACGAGACTCTGGGTCGGTGTGTGGGCCCCGCAGGCGTGGTGGTGTGGGGCAAGGCACCGCACGCACACAGCATGGGGCCTCGGGCCTCACCGCATCCCTTTCATTTACTTCCCCAAAGTGACACGGTGCCCTCTGCTGATTGTGCAAAGTTACCTCTCGTTGATTCATAATGACAATCATAAAGCGACGTGTGCGTGCGGTTTGTTATCTTTACCGTTTCGTGCAATCGTTGCCGCAGAAAGCGACGGCGGAATTTGCCTTCCGCA